CGCCGCCTGGTCGCGCATCGCCGACAAGGGCAAGCCCGACTCGAGCGAGTGGCCCAAGTACAAGAAGAACAGGCCCGTCGCCTTCCTCTGGGAGCAGACCGACGCCAACCTCAACCCGCCCACGACCACGGTGCCCTTCTTCGAGTCGAACCTCTGCACCAACTGGGAGCCCATCTTCTCGACCAACTCGGTGGTCCAGCCCTAAGCGTGGCCCTCCAGAGTGGAGAGAGTCTGCCCGGCCCAGTCACAGTAAGATATTATAATATTTACCAAACAATATATTCCTCCAAAAAAAAACATATTCCACAAAAATCAAAAAATTTTAATATATATTGTCTTTTACACACATTCATAGCCATGTTTCACTTGGGGGTAGGCCAGCTCGATGCACGCAACCTCGCCTCGCACCAAAGGCAGCTCGAGTGCCTCGGCCAAAGTCGCCCAGCGATGCGTCTTGTGTTCCCTGACGTGTGTTGTTGTTAGTTTGCTTGATGCATTCATCTGCCTGATCTTGGCAGCGCACCTCTCGTCTATTCGAATCGATGGTGGCTGGTGCCGCTCGACGAGGCGCGCCTTGTACATGTGATAAACGAAATCCACTTCAGGGTACCTGGGAAGGTGGTTCCGATGAATAGAGACGAGCGGGTGCGGTGATGAGTGTTGCGGCAAGGAGCGGCGCAGAGCCAAAGGCGATGAAGAACAACAACGTACCGGACATAGACCCGCCCGCAGGGGCGGAGCTGGGGCTCGGCCAGCGCGTTGAGGGCGAGGCCGGTCTCCTCCTCGAGCTCGCGTGCCATGGCCTCCTCAGCCGTTTCCCCCTGTGCCAGCATCAAACCAGTGGTGAATAAGATCTGCACAAAGTGAGTCCCATCCCACTCGTGGCGCACCTGACCAAGATGGAGCTTGCCGCCAGGCACGCCCCACACGTTCGGTTCTGATTTGTGATCTTGCCGCAGCAACAGAAGAATTTGCAGATTTGTCACTGCTTCGTCGTCATCTCCTTGATGATTTTGTGGTGCCGTATGTTCTAGGAAGCAACCACACGCTTCGAAGGCAGGATTGAACAACTCTGGCGGCTCGCCAGAGTAGATAAACGACATCGATCAGCAAAATAAAAATAAAAATAAAAATAAAAACGGGGTAGGACTAGTATTATTATTTAATTTACCGTTTGCCACAACAAGTGGGGTGGTCAAGCTGTGGAGGTGGTGGCCGCCGCAGCTTCTTCCGCCTTCTTGCGCTCCTCCTCGAGCTCCCTCTCGGCCTGGGCCTTCTTCTCCTTTCGGGCGTTGCGCTCTTCGTACATGCGCCTGTTCTCGGCGATGCGCTCAATGATGAGCGTCGTGGTCATCGGCGACTCGCTGTCCAGCTCGTGGTAGATACCCATCTTTTCTGCCACTTCGTACGGGCTCGTTCCATCGGCGCAGGGTTCAACTGCGCGCAAGACACATCAGCCTCTTCTTCTTGATCATCCTCATCATCACCATCAACGCGGACTGGTAGGCAAGATATACCTTGGTCCTTGCCGTGTACGACGACGGAGATGTTGTTGTTCTTGATAAACTCTTCGGTCAGCTTCTCTGGGGCGCCGAGCACCACTTCGTCGACGTACTTGCACGACAGCACACCGAGCACGCGCTCGTAGAGAGTCATGATCGGGAAGTTGCCCTTCTTGTACCTGTTCACCGTCTGTCGCGACAAAGAAACATTAGAAAGGAAGAAAGAAGGGTAGCTAAGGTGGTGGGGGTTACCTCGTCGTCAAGCACGCCGACGAGAAGGAAGGTGCCAAGCTGCTTGGCCCTCTCCAGCACCTTGATGTGGCCAACGTGGAAGAGGTCGAACGCACCGTCCACGTATACCACCTTGTCGGTGGGCTGTCGCACGCCGAACAGAGATGAGTGTTAGCTTTCTTCTTCTTCTTCTTCTTCACTCACGCAGGCGTTCTAAAGTGGTGGCACGGCACACGCAACGCACCAGAGCGGTCTTGCCGTCGGAAAAGA